CAAGGATTTGATGAAACAGATGATCAATAACAGTGACTCCACAAACTAATTGTCTCTAATAAACACACACACACTTGACTTGGAATTTTCACCTGCTCAGTGATGGAGGACAGTGTTAGGAGGGGACCATTACCTACTCAAGCCAACACAATGACTTTATTAGCTCTGCTGCTTACAGTCCACTGAGACATTTAATATTGCAGTAAATCTGTGGTCACAAGAAAATGTAAATTAAAGTAATATAGGGTAGTAGTAATATGGATCTAGATAAGATAATCAATGCCAGTGATTAATCTGAACAGTAAATATAAATCTAGTGCCAGCAGCTGGTTTGCTAAGCTAAGTGTAATGACTGGGCATAGTGGGATCTGTCCAGAGGTAACAAAACCATGTAATGCATTCTATCTTGTTTGACTAATCATTACAAAAAAGGAAATGTGGTTATGTCCTAGGCTGTTTTGTAGCTGGGAGCTTATGGAGTCTTGCTGTCACAATGAGGAGAGCTAAACTAAACTAACCAGTGTGGTCGGAAACTGCACAGAGAGACATAAGAGTGGTATGAATGTTGTCATCTAGTAACTCTTGGCAAAAAAACAAAGTGTATTTCCAAAAATTCCAGCTTTTTCTTTTAATTTACAGTGGTGCTAAGGACACACATACTGTACACATGGTGTGATGTGTTTGGTTAAAACAACTCAGACTAAAGAGATTATATCAGTAATTATTAGCAAGGTAAAAAAACAACAAAGTAGAACAGTCTGTTTCTGAGAATGAATCTGTGACCTGACAGTAAGCTGAGCTCCAGCTTTTATGCCTTTCTTCACTCATCATGTTCTTTCACACATGAGACATCTTGGATTGAACAAAATGTACCACCAGCTTGTTCTGTGACTGTGTGTATCTGTGTGTGTGCCATGGTGGTCCCATGGGGTGTGCATTTGGGTTCAGACCTAAATGACCCCTTATGTTGTTTATCAGTCCCTAATTCATGCCAGTGGCATCTGGGCATCAGTGTGGTCTCTGGTAGCTGTGAAGCTGAAGGGATGCTTGTGTGTGTGGGGTTATAAAAAGGCCTATCGTGGTCTCCACACTCCCCTAGTGGAGCATCCATCTGGACGTAAGTAGGTTCATTGTTTTAACAATTGCAGCATGATGCTGTCTGGAGAGAGGAGGAGAGAAGAGGGAACTCGCCCTACACTTTACGTATGAAGGCAGTGGTGGAGGATGGAGGAAGTACTCAGATTTAGCAATACCACAGTGTAAAAATACCCTGTTACAAGTAAAGGTCTGGCATTCAAAATGTTACTTAAGTAAAAGTACAAAAGCACCAAAAAAGGACTTGTTATGCAGCATGGCACAGTTGACATATTATTAGATTATAATTAATAATGTATTACTGTGTAGGCTTACATCAGTACAGGATTTTTCTCTGAAATGTAGTGAAGTCGAAGTATGATGTAGCAGAAAATGAAAATATTCAAGAAAAGTACTGACACCTCAAAATTGTACTTAAGTACAGTACTTGAGTGAATGTGCTTAGTTACTTTTCACCTCTGTAGGTCAGTTTGTGGTCAGTTTGAAGAGCTTCAGTCTAAAATGAATCACACACACACACTTATATACCACACATATTCTTACATATTTGCAAAGTCATGACAAAACACTGAATGATTAACTTCATTTGTTTTGATGAACTGATTGCACTGACAATATACCTAACATAATTAATGACTTTACATTTGCACTTATCTTGTATTCATCTTTTCTGCCATACTGAAAGAGAAATACATAATAAGTGATAGAGCTTTATTGATCCCCGACCTAATGTCCCAAAGGGGATCAATAGTTTCATCTCTTACATTGTTATTTGTCTGTTCATATACCAGAGTGAGCAGATGAACAACAAGCAAATCAGATTACCTCACAATCAGCATTTTATCTACAGCATGCTAACCCACACCATGTACATCACAGCATACTCATCTGGAGCCAGAACGAGCCTCCACTGCCGGCTCACAGTCATGAGAAACACAAACAGCAGTCACAGGATCGCTCAAACTCTTTTATTGTTCATACCAGGAATGTTTCCAGGTAAAGTGCTATAAACTGATATCACATTCACTGACACCTGTGTTGTAAATACTGTATATGGAAGCTGCACTGAGCAATAAACCTCAAATGATCCTAGATAAAGACAGGGGAGGTGAGGAGGAACAACCAAAAAGGGACAGTTTCTCTCATCCACTAACAGTCAGTGTTTGCGTTAATTTGCTTGAATTACTACATAGATGTCAAAAAAGTGTTGAGAGAGGAAGAAGTAGGCCAAGGTGAGAAAAGGCATCATCACTTTGTTTACATTTCTAATCTTATCTATAAAGAGACATTATAAGAAGTGATAAAAAGTGGACATCTCTGGGCAATCATTTTAGCAGGAGCTTATTATTATAAAGATTTTTGTTAAATTATATACTAAAAAAAATGAATATTTGAGACAGGTGCACACGAGATAAAAAAGTGGGCAAATAAGAATAAAAACTCTGTTAATTCTATGTTAGAATTTAAATATTCAGTGAAATTAGAGATACTGAAGGACCAGAGAGTGAGCGCCATGTTACAGGGAGGTTAGCACACATTTTCATGATTTGCATATTTTGCATATTACATCTGAGGATGTAAATGCAATCAAGGCACATTTGCTGCTCATATGCATACTAGGTCCCCCAGTCACCTGGGTACTCTGCTGGACAGTCCAGGCTCACTGTGCGACACAAAGGCCACGCTGAGTCGAATTGTGATTGGTTTGAGACAGGCGTCCCTGTGGTGCCAGCAGACAGTCCGGTTGGTTTGGATATTAACAGTGAAGCACAGAAAAAACAACAACATTTAATTGTTGTTTAAAGCAGTGGTTCCCAGCAGTTTCAGCTTTCTGACCTCATCGGCTTGACACATTGGAGTCTGTGTACAAACTGTTCTAGAGGTGTAAAAGAGTTGTATAAAGCTTTTTTTGGCCCCAAGGAAAGATGTGTGGAATCTAATAAACACACTTAAATCAGCATTGGGTCTGAAAAATACAAGTTTGAAACTTAAAAAAAAAACATTTGGTAGTGTGTTGTCCCTCCTTATCTCTGCTTGAAGGTAGCAGCCCATGCTACATTAGCATTTTGCTATTAATATTAGGTCTTGAGTTGCATTGTGAGTAAGGCAGGTGCCAACTTTTGACAAAAACAATGTGTGAAATAAGAAAGGCGATATCTTTGGTTTTGCTGCATCAATTTTATCTTTTTTAAAAAAATGTATATTAAAAGCCCAGTAATGCTAGAGGACTGTTTTAAGATAAGATAGCACATGTATGGAAACCTTTCTTCACAGCAGTATGAACAGTGAGCAGACTGTCTGATCCTAATAAAACGTAAAAACTTCACAGTATCTCACAAAAAAGCTACAACAGTTAGCGAAAAGTCTGCCCACATTCCTCTGCCCTCCCCCACCGACCCTTTGCAGATGCTGGGAACCACTGGTTTAACAGCAAGTTCACAGGTAAACAAAATGACATGCAGCATTTATAGCTCATCAAGTACGAGATACTTATTTTTAAGCATTTCAAGGGTACATTTCTGGTAATGTGTGTACTGAATGGATATGTTTTGGAAAAAAAGATCTTATAAATGGGTCTTTCTCTTCTGAAGACATCATGCTCATTGATAACATTTGCTCAAACAGAGCAATGCGTACATGCATAATGTATGTATCACAGAGAAGTGCCAGTGTGCTCACTCTCCAGCTGACATCATTTCTATGACGTGCTTTCACAGTTCCTGTGCCTGTTATGATCATTTGCATTTATTACCTCATTTCCATACATATTCCATAACTTCCTGATTGAACTATTCACATATACAGAATATTAAATTTTTTCACATTTTTAACTCGGACAAAAAAAAAACGCCAGGTACCTTTTTTTCTACTCATTTCAAACAAAGGCATTGTAGCATAGCTCCTTCTCTATGATGCTGTTCAACAATATTGTGAAATTATGATAAAAAATTACAGCATTAAGTGCATCATCCTGTGTATACTTTGTCTTTTAAATGCTCAGTTCAGGAAAATGGTATGAAGTAAAATGAGTGTGTATGGATTATGTTGAACAGGAAAACAATTTGAATAATGACATGGATTGTGATGCACTGACTGAACAGGAAAACAATTTAAATAATGACATGGATTGTGATGCACTGACATGAAAAAATGAGCTTTTGTTTCTTAAAATACAGTTTTATTTCTGAATTTACACTGATTAGCAATACAGCTTTTAGCAAATCCATTAGATAACCATTTATATAGGATTTTCACAGGTCACAAAAGTAGCTTGGCTCATTCTGGCATGCCAAAGCAAAACTTGTTCTTTTTTTACCAACAGAAAAGAGGTGGATAGAGAGGCATTAGTAGAGTGAGGTGCAAACAGTCTGAAACAGAAGAGGAGAACATAAAAAGGATGCACATTCAGTTCATCTGGGAGCAATTTATGCTCATAAAATGGTTAATAAAAAAGCCTAGTGCTCTCTGCCAACTAAAAGAGAAGTTTCCTGTGATACAAATAGAAAAAACTTTCCTGAAGGAGAAATGGTGTGAAATAAAAAAAATAATAATTAAAAACCGTCCGAGTGATAAAACATGGTGCATTAGTGTCAGGCTGTCTTTACCCCCGCCCCGTCTCGACTACACACAAACACCCATTTCTAAACTCACACATCCTTCCTCCATCTCTCAGCTGTATGACCTCAGCTGTCGCCCAGATCTAAAAGCCTTCGTTTAACACAGCTATAGATGCATCCTTTAACCCTCTCCCACCCTCCAAATCCAATACTTCACATTGCTAGCTGGGATATAGGTATATCTGGTTAAAGTGTGTGTGTGTGTGTGTGTGTGGGGGGGGGGGGGGGGGGGGTGGCAGGGTGGCAAAGACACTACGCTTAAATAGCAGCATCACAATCTGGGATTCTTTTTACCCAAGAAATTACGCAAGGGGAGGCTTTAGAAAGTGAAATGACAACCGGGTTCACACAGAGATCAAATAAAAATAAAATGTCCATATGACCTCTTTATAATCTTCCGGTTCCAGGACAAAATAAATGGCAAGTTATGTGAGGAAGCATGGCTGCTGTGAATGTAGCTACTGAAAATAAAGGTTTTGGAACCTGAGGGGTGTCGATGCAGTCACTGGGGTAATTTGAGAGAAGTCTTGATAGGGTCCTTGACGCCCGAGCAAGCAAACGAGAATCACAACCCTTGTTTCATCAATGAAAAAGAAAACAGTGAAAAAAATTACAATATGGCTTTAGAGACACACACACAAACACACCAGAGACATCACCGCTCCCAACTCCACAAACTGGTAATGGAAGATAGCTTGATGTAGCAGTGCAGTACTATACTTCCTGTTTTTTTAATTTTTGAGTTGAACAATTGAGATCATTTCTCATGTGCGACCAACAGCTCACTTTCTGGGTCCTGACCTGTCACCATGTTTTGCTTGCTACTTGCTCTACTTTTACCGAACACTTCACAATCTCCTTCACTGGCGAAACCACCTGCAACTGAAACTTGTTATAAGAAAAGTGCAGGACAATAAAATAAATACAGTTAAAAAATCTATAGCCAATGTAATCCAGCTCTCATATACGTGTTATATAGTAAATTTGTGTACTCTGAAGACTAGAATATAATTTGAGCAATCAGGTCTCACTACAGAACATAGTCAGCCATATAAATTGAGTTCTTGTGAAACGAGAAAACATGCAATGAGTACTAATACTAATACCAAATTTGTGTAAAAAAAGATACATTTTCATGAGATGTCAAACCAGACACAAAAAGTGACCCTTTACTAAAATGAGATTGTTTGTTTTTTGCACTCTTCCATTATGTTTGGAAAAAAAATGAGATGAAGATGAGATTATATGAAAATGCTACATAAATATTAAAAGTGGCTGAGCAGCTCTCTGAGATAATGCCAACTTAGTCGTGACACACTTCCAGTCGCTCACCAGTAACTCATCTGCAGTTCAACCACATCAAGCTGAAAGGTTTGTATTAGAAGCTTGTGCCTAATGAAGCCTTAAGAGTGTTAGAGAATGAGGCAGAGAGAAAACTTCTCTCACAGTATATACATCAACACAAACCCCACGGCTGATGTTGAGGCCAGTTTTCCAGTGTGACTTCAAATTTCATGTGGCCTCTCAGTTCCCTATGCAGGCTCAGGTGACCAGAATGCAAAAAAAACCTTTAAAGAGTGAGGAGTCTTTACAGAAAACAAACAAAAAAAGGTTTAATTTCAGCTTGTGCAGCTTTACAGCACTTAGACTGCAATTCAATCATTTCATATGCAGGAAATATGCAATGCGGTTTCAGGTTCTGCTTTGAGCCTGGGAAACAGCACAGAGGAGGAGCCACTTATTTAGGATCTACGTAAATGGCCTCAAATGACAGTTAACGGCTTCCCAGGAGCCCTGCTAGAGTACTGCACAGGTGATCGGGTGTGCAGACACCCAACACCTGCTGCTAGCCACTCCACATCTGCTGCAGTTTTTAATCTGTGGCCTCAAACCCACCCTAAGTTTCCCAAATATCATTCTTTGTGTAGACGAGACCTTTTCTTTTTTGTTACAAACCAATTCATTTTTTGTAATCCTTTCTTCTGCCCTTTGCACCATTTTTTCTAAAAAAAAAAATCAAAATTAAAAACAAAAATAGGACATTGATGGAGACAAAATAAAAGCAGACATTAAACAGAACAGGTGGCTGCTGCCCCTCTTTCTTCTTCTGTGCAGACAGGCTTCCTGTCTACCTCGCCCCTGCTGCCTGTTCGCTCTCAGGCCTCCGTCTTCTCTTTCTTTTTGTTCTTCTTTAGGAAGGATGGGGTGCGGAATTTCTTCTTCTTCTTGGTGTTGGGGGACTTGGAGGGCGAGCTTTCGGGCGACAGCGCCTCTTCGATCTTCTCGCCAGAGCGCACCGTGATCTCTACACTCTCTATGCTGGTGGTCAGCTGGCTGACACGCTTGGACATCTCCTTGTCCACGTCACCGTGGTTGTTTTTGCCATTCATCGGGGCCATGTGGATCTCTGGGGGGAGAGGGGGACAGACAAAGAGGTGGAGGAGTGAGACACAGACCGGTGAGGACCTGGAGCTAGACACAGAGGAGGGACACACCCAATGGACAGACAACACCCATAACTAATTAACTACATGGCGTATGGTTTGTTTTGATTAATATTAGCATATGTAGTATGTATTAATTTATCACCTGCAGTCTTCAGCTTAACATAAACAAATCAATCATCAATTGATCAAATAAAACCCATTTTCAAAAACAGATAACACTCAAGTTACTGTGTTAAATACGATGTTGGGTAAACACCCATCTGCTGTGGGTGCAGAAAAGCAAAACAAAACAAAAAGAAAGCATTAACTTTAGCAATACCTCTGTAACAACTATTCCATACAAGTTAAATATATTGATTTTTTTATCTTATATGTGATGCATTTTAATAAAAAATCTGTGTGAAGATAAGTTGGACAAGTTCTTGAGCTGAAAAATACTAATACTTTAGAATAGAATTTCTTTTTAATTGATCAGTAGCTGAAGCTGCAGAAGTAGCATTAAAAAATTTTTAAAAATTAAATATATAATACATCATTATTTTCACGTCTCTACTGCTTATCACCAATTTTAAATAATGAATATATTTAACTCAACCTCAGCTGGTATTTACAACAATGTAGTTGATCCACATACAAAGACATATGTTTTCCAACTGTTCATTAGTTCTAAAATGTTACAGAAGCCACGTTTTTAGACAAAATGACATGGAACTAAAGTTATATCTTTGGCAGGAACATTTTATGAAAAGGGATTATATTTTACAGGTGTTCCTGTTATTGTGTCCATTGCCTGAATGACAACTTGACCTGCTTGTTGAACTTCTGCCCACAGAGACACGCTGTCCCCGTACTCTACGTGTTTCGTAATATCCCTGCATAAAAACCCAGTGACCTGACAGCCCGGAGTCTGCCCTGCTTTGTGGAATGCAGGGCACAGTGTCATGTTACTACACTAAAACCCAAAAACAATGACAACGTCTTGGGTTATTTTCATCTTGGCACAAAAAGCACACAGGCGTTACAAAGCAGCCTGCACAACAAGTGACCTGATTTCAAAGCAGTGACTGACTGACCCCAGAGCAGTGGTGTCACAATTAAGTGTTTGGTTTCTGTTCTTGTGTTGGAGAGAGGCTGACAGGAAGTCAATTCCAGAGTGTCATTATTTACAACTTGTTAAGAGGCCACCATGATCTTTTCTCTGTCTTGGAGGGAGGCCAAGTGGCTTCAAATGTCAGACATTTTAAAAGATG